GGAGCGTTTCTGCTCCGGCTTCCTGCTGCTCCCCGCAGACAAATCCCAGCTCCCAACAGAGCCTGCCGGCCGGAGCCCAGAGCAACATACAGGCATCGTTTCCTCCAGTGCTTTAGTGTGAGATACAGCAGGGATTTCCCAGTACGAAAGCCCTGATGGGTGTGTGCCCTTCCGTGCGGTCCCAGCGGCATGTTGCACGTGGCCTGCAGAGAGCATTTGGAAAGCTGCTGAGAGCCAGGCTCCAGGTCGCCCTGGCTGCTCTGCAGCCTTGGCGATCACAGCCTGGGTCTCCCATCCCGTTACCTGGCCCCTCCCAGTCACTAGGGGAAAAGGAGATCTCAACATGCAATGGGGACGAGTCTCATCTGTTCTTGATTCTAGATGACGCTGATGCTCCTTATCCAGAGGATTGGGTGGACACTGCTTTTGTGCCTCAGGGGAACCCCAGAGGTAAGTTGTGTCTTTTTCCTTGAAGGCAGAAAAAGTAGTGCTGTCGTAGTTTATTCAGGTACTTAAGAGCCTCCAAAGGTCTTTCAAGTCTCTTTGTGCCTTAAAGGCCCTGTTCTGTGCACAGAACAGTCCTGAGTATTTCTTTATTTGGAGAACTTCCCATTTCAGTGGGAAAGCAGCCCTTGCCAATCTTTGGAGGAGAGAACCTCTACGTTTGCCGTTTGGGCCATGTCTTTCCCCGACCTGCCGCCAGTCCTTGCAGGTCACTGCAGAAAGTCCAGGCCCCAAGGTGCAGTGGAAGCTGTCCTCACCTGTGTCTGATCACATTTGTGCCTGCAGGTCTTCTCGGTGAAGTACCGAAGCGGAGTCCTGTTTCTGAGCCTGGGCTGGATGCCAGAGGTGAGCCACCAGCCTTCATCTCACGCTCTCTGCTCGTATGTGGTTGTGGCAGTTGAGGCAGGGTTCAGCTTTTCACTGCCCGGTGATTTCTACTCCCTGTTTGTTGGGTGCTGCGTGCTCCCAGTGTCCTGTTGGCTTCGTCTCTGTACATCACAGATCTCTCCAGTAAGAAAACCCAGATGTTCTTCCATGCTGTCTCTGAGGATTGTTTCACACAACCTGGAGAGAGTATCCGGAAAGCTGCTGAGTGCCAGGCAGCTCCCACCTGCCCCCTCTGCAGCTTGCATAACTCTGCTATGCAGCTGTGTAGATGGCAGCATGTGATGGAAAGTTCTCCTCAGCTTTTGGGTGCAGAAGTGCCTCCAGGGAAGGCCGGGCAAAAATCCTTGGCTGCCTCCTGTGCTGGAGCCCCACAGGCATCCCAGGGGCAGCTGTTGTCTTTATTGAGTTCACCAAAAAGACTATTCAGTTCAGTCCTTTGTCTGAAATGTTTTTTTGTGCTTTCTGTTAAGGTCCTGAGATATGGAAAGAGACATCAAGAACTGGAAAATATCCACAGAGGCTCTCCCATGTCCTGAAGAAAATCATGAAGGAGAAGGCAGCACAGGGTGGGTGTCTCTCTGTCTGTTCACTGAAAGACTGGGGAAGCTGAGTTTCTAGATAGATACATGGAGAAACTGTAACGTGCACAGCTGGAAAGGATGGATCAGAGCCCTCTGATCTGAACTGGCTGGTGGCATCATCTTGCAACTTGCCAGAATCGCACAAGAAGCCTGCCTGCAACCTGCTGGTCTCCCAGCAGGACAGGTCTTGCTGTCTGTGCTCGCAAACTGGGAAGTGTGCAGCACTTCAGTTTGTCTCACAGAATGGCACGCAGTTTGGAGCAGGAATGGGGTGCACCACAAAAAGCCCAGGCTTTGTTCCTAAACTCTACTGATGTGTCTAGAGAACTGGTGCCTCCTGCAGATACCATCTTCCTGATGAGAAGCAGTTACTTACAGCCCCACTCTCTTACTTCCTTTCTAAAGAGGCAGATGGAGAGCCTGAGCACAGGGATGCATTTCAGGCAGGCAGTCATCGCACAGCGCACGTCCCTCCAGGAGCAACAGAGGCCAAGCACACGACTGGCGCTCCAGGTAAAGCCCCTCCTGGAGCTCCGTGGCCGTGGTCAGAGGTTGCTCCCCTCCCATCACCCACAGTTCCCAGGGATTTAGGAACTTTGGCCAGGGGAACCACATTCAGCAGATGAGGAGAGGAAATAGGACCCTCCGACGTACCTCCCTCCCACAGTCCCTGCATTCCAGAGCTTGCTGTGCCTCCCTTGAGGCGCCTGGCACACCAGCAGCCCGCAGCGGGATCCCTCCTGCAAACTGAGCTCCAGAGGGACACACTGACTCCCTAGAGGGAGCCTCCCTGTCCTGCCTCCTCTTTGCCTGCACCATGCTGAGACTTTGCCTTTCTCTCATTCTTCACAGTGCTGTTAAAGCCCCAGGAAGCCCTGTACAACTGGATCCGTGGTTTTTTTCTGAAGAATCCAGGTGAGCAACAATCAGGCAGGAGTTCATAAAGGGGAGAAAACTCAGAGCCTGCAAGTTGTGCCCACGCTGGGGGAAAGGCAAAAAGGGAGAGGCAAGTTCAGGTGCCTGTAGAGATGGCCTGACTCTGCCTCCGAGTGGGTTCCCAGTGGGAGGGGGGAGCTCAGGGCTTGTTCTTGTCCATGTCACTCATAGCACAATTGGTTAAAGAGATCCACACGCTCTCCTTCTGCTCTAAGGAGTTTTTTTTAGTCAGACTACGTGCCCCAAGCGGTCACGGTGTGCCTGCAGCAGCACTGCCCAGCCTCACGAGGCGAGGGTGGGCGAGTGCAAAAGAAATCTTAGAGCATGATGGAGAAGAAGGAGCAAATCCATGGCCCAGGAGCATTTGGATGGTGGCAGAGCCAGAGTGTAAACAAAGCTGAGAGGCAGAACAGAGGCTCCAGAGTGCGTTGATGTGCAGCGCCTTTGGGAACTCCCTTAGCTTCC